GTGTTAAAGAAAACTGCATCTGTTCTTCAAAACTCATTGTAATTCATTACTCTGAGGATCGCCAACGTATAGTTTGGCTGAAAATTCGGTGGTTATAGTGGAGACTGTCATTTGCTTGTTTTTCTGTATGTGTTTCTTTCAGTTCTCTGACTCTTCTTGCGTATGGTAAAAGCACCTTTAAGACAAGGTCTAATTGTAATTAGGTGGTGGAACTGGTCTACTATCCAGAACCTTGGCACAAGGCTCCTGTCTCGGGCTTTCTTGTTTCGTACGAGCGGAAGATGTAGTAAACCGTCTGACCGGGCAACGCAGAAAATTTTATGCTTTCGTGAATAAACGGTAATCGCTGTTGATACGATGACTGTTGATCTCGGATTAAGTCCTACTTGCCTTACGCCTTGGCACCTTCTCGCTCCCATTCACTGTTAATTAACACATCGTGGCAAACTTGCGACGGCGTCACCGTGCTGTGTTTTTTCGTGGAATCCGGATATCATAATCTCAGCCAGTCAGTTTGGAAACTTCACTTATTTAAAACAGACCCTCGTTTCAGCGTTGATTCAAATTTATTTCTGTACTTTTTAATGTATGCATATGTTGTAATTAATAAATGATTCGAGACCGTAACGACATTGGTATTTTCCGTTACTCTCTACAGGAAGGAAAATTGAACCTCGTTTGAACTGCTTAATGAAATTTGAAATGAATAGACAACTTTACCTTCAGTTGATGTGAGCACTGGCGACGTGTTTCAGTCTACCGTAAGATAGCAGTTTGTTAATTATCTATCATGCGCAATCCTGATTATTCCGTCTTCTGTTTAGTTGTACTGATCAGGAATGTGCCCAGTTTACTCCAGCGCAAATCCGGACATCGTGTCATGTTTTACGCAGACGTCGGTGGACAGGAGTGAGAAAGAAGACGATGTGTTCGATGACGATGACACTAAACTGCCGCTGAATGTTGTGGTGCAGGGAAAACGACGAACGACCTACAGCACGATCAAGGCATGCCCGTTCATTGCGCCGTGTAAGTCGTGGCCGGCTGTTGAATATCGTTGTTGTAACGTCGTTCGAACCAATAGCTGCCTGTCAGCACTTAGTGAAACTACCCAGCGTGATCATCATGGTGGGCCTGCCTGCTCGTGGCAAGACCTACATCGCCAAGAAGCTGTGTCGGTACCTAAACTGGACCGGCATCATTACTCGAGGTAATTATTTCTGTTCTTTTTACTTACGAGTTACGCTCTATAGTACTGAATGATGATTTATCAAAAGAGTCCAGGCGCCGGGCGTCTATTTAAACATCCACACCAACCAGCGTGGTCCAAAGTACAATAAGTTTTACAACATCGTGGGAGACATGGTGTCGAATTCTAATTGAAGCGAAAAACTTGTAGCACTTAAAGTAACCTCTTTTGCCTCATAACAGAGTTATAATGGAATATGACGGTAGCCAAAAGAACGTAACATTTCAAGGACAGGCCGCCGCCATTAGTACAGGTATCGTTTGCCTATGTTCTGATGTTACATTGTCTCTTTACCGTTGTACCGATCTCACTACATTAGAGTTTCCTATGCACAAAAACTGAGATTAATTTGCACAGTGTTGACTTGTCTTTGGTTGCGGTAAGCTTATCCTGTTCAGCAGCATTTCGCATTGCTCTAGAGATAAATTTTCCGACAAAAGGCAGCGTAATTTGGTTATAGTTAGGATCGCATTGGGACTGCACTTAACACTGCCATAGTGTATGAAATAAGCTTTTGAAAATTTTCCGTGCGAAGGATTGTTGAAACCTAGGATTAACTGGAAACGTTTCAGGTGACTACTGAAAACACAGTGGAGGTCGGGGACACATCGATCTTTACAAGTACTGCTGATGATTTAAACCTTTAGTCGTGGTGTGTTTGTTGAGATTATCACCTTGAAGCGTTTGCATAAGCAATACGTTTCTAGTTTGTAATGTTCTGTGTGTTTCCAACTGTACAACATTTGCTATAAGGCACCGATTGCTGCACTGTATAATGAAATAATGAAATCAATGCATAAAAAATAAAATTTTTTAGTTTTCAATCTCGGCGACTATCGACGACTGCTTTTCAAAAGCTGCGGTAGCAGTGATGAATTTTTTAACCCTAGTAACGAAGAAACGACGTGGATTCGCGAGTACAGCCGTTTGAACTGTTCTTGTCTTTTGTACATTTACATTCTACTGTGTAGGGAATGTGCCGAGTTAGCGATTAAAGACGTGTGTAAATTTTTGGAAGACAGCCAAGGTG